CCTGCCCCCACCACTGATTTCCCTCCAATGTCCAGTGAGACAGTCATGAAACAAATGAGCAAACATCATTCCCTTCCCAATGTACCTGCAGTAAAATCTGAACTCCTCACCATCGCCTACAAGTGCCCCATGGCCTGCAGCCTCATCATCTGCCCTTTCTTCCATTTCCTCTGCTGCTGCAGCCTCCACACTGCTCAGGGCTCCCTACCCACTGCTCCTCCTGGAACTCTGAACGGTGGCTTCCCTCTGAGGTCTCTGCTTGCCTTCCTGGTGTGGCCTCCCCAGCCACAGCACTCACATCCCCAAGGGCTAGTCCATGTGCTTCCAGGGCTGCCAGCTGAGTCTGCACACCAGCGACAGGGGTGGCACATCAGGGCACCCAGCGATTCTGTGTAAGCATGGGCAGCCGTTCCCTCACCTGCTCCTGGCGGTCGGGTCGGGCTCAGTTCCTGGACAGCATTGCCTGCTTCCCCTGCCGCAGTCCAGAACCTCCCTCCAGCAGTGCACATGGAATGTGGAGGTCTGTGCTGACCCAAGAAAATGGAGCTGAGTCAGGGAGGGAGGTCAAGGCACAGTGCCTGCAGTGCATGAGGCCAGTGTGCACAGGTGGCGCTGGGGAGGTCACGGTCATGGGACTGCACACCGATGCAGTTTGCAGAGGGTCTCTTCAGTGTTTCCAGCAGACGCGCGCCCCTTGAGAGGACTTGATGTTAGGTAAACACCCTATTTTTAGTTAATTTCCAAAGTGACAGACCAAGCAACGTTGAGCACACCGTCCGCCACCTCCTGCTCATAGGGAGGCTGGAATAATAACAGTGTCTCCAGTGTGCCTAGTAGGGGTGGCACGGCTGCTGGCTTTCCCCTGGCCTGCTCTTCACCCACCCAGACCCTCTTCCACTCCCTCAGGGGCTCCCCTCTGGCTGGGAGGTCCAGACATGCTAACTGGGGGGCTTCATCGCAACACCACGGCTCTTCACGTGGCATGTGCTGACCTCTCAGGGAGGAGAACTAAGACTTTACACTGTCCCTACTGCATTTCCTCCAAAGGGCTGACCTTAAAGTCTCTCCTGCTGCTTTCTTTCCAGCTGGTTCAGGGGTTCAGATTCTGCAGGTCTGGGCAGGGCCTGAGAATGTGCATTTCCAACCAGTCCCCAGACAATGCCAGGGCTGGTCTAGGAGACCCTGGTGATATACGCCTGTGATCCAGTCCTGTCAGAGCTTGATGACTCTCCCCAGGCCTCGTCTGTATGATGATGGTGACACTGACACCAGGCCACCATGTGGATTCTGGGAAATAAAGCATGTGGAGCACATGCACCTGCTGGCTGAAACCTCCCCTTTCTGAGGACACTCAGTCTCAGCCACAGACCTGCAAGAAGCCCTCCCAGCAATGCTCATGTGAATTTCAGATTTTCCCCATAAGGCCAACTTTTAACCTCACTTCCCGAACCTTAAGACAACTGTCAACACTCTGCACCCCACAGCTTTCCTGCTGGCCTCCCATAAACCTCACTGGGCACAAATGAAATCAAACAAGTAACTGATAATTGGGGAACATCTGGTCAATACGTGGCAAGATGTTACAGTATACTGTTAATTAAAAAACAAAAAAACGTTAAAAGCAGCAAGAAATTTACACACATAGATTTACATACAAATATGATGAGGAGAGACTGTGGGTGTAGGTGCACACATGTGCAAATATAGATGGGTGGAAGGGGGAGGAGAATGAATAAGCAAATGCTTGAATGTGTGTCCAGAAAGACAGGGTCTACACCAGAAAATAGATTATAGCCATCTCTGGATGGGATTATGGGTGATTCTTTTTGCTCAATACGTGTGCAAATATAGATGGGTGGAAGGGGGAGGAGAATGAATAAGCAAATGCTTGAATGTGTGTCCAGAAAGACAGGGTCTAGACCAGAAAATAGATTATAGCCATCTCTGGATGGGATTATGGGTGATTCTTTTTGCTCAATAACTTCTCTGTGCATTCCAGTCGTCTACCATAACTGAGCCCAATAAAGAATTCCACGCCTTGACCACACAAGTCACAATTGAGTCTGACTAGGAAGTGGTCACAGCACACATGGAATCCCACAATCCCACCAACAACTCTCCACTTCCTGTCCCTGCACCCCCTCGTCCCACTCCCGGCTCCCACTTCAGACGTCACCTCTTTGTGGACCTCAGACTCTCCCAAAACACTCTTACCTCCTAGTCCCCTCCCTAACTCCCCAGACCTTGGTCCTCTCCTCTTCTGACCCTCCCTTTCTCCTTCTGGGTAAACTTCTTACCCCTTGGAAAGAGCCCCCTCACCCCCAACTCAGAAACTCCCTTATCCTTATTCCTGCTTGTGAAAAAAACTTTCACTGCTTAATAAATGGGAGGCAGTTGTCCCTCCCATCCCTTTAGGGTGTCTCCTTTTGGTCAACCCACAGAAAAAACCCAAAGGGTTTTTCCTCTGCTCTCATGCCACAATCACACACAAGCCTTCTGTGACCAAACGTGTGTGGGGTTTCCCACACACACCAAGGAAGCAATCAGTTCTGCAGCGGTCATCAACACAGTATCCTCTAATCAATTCAATTCCAACACTATCTACCTGGAGACAGCTTCAGATCCCACAGGTTGAGAATTCAGTCTCAAAGACTTCTCTCCCCACTTCTAATGCCAATTGCAAGCACCAGGTTGTGACCTGTGCTTCTGACCAACCGGGTATAAAGTGGGGTATGCATCACCCCCTCCTTGCTAAAGCAGCTCACAGAACTCAGGGAAATACTTACTTACATTTACTGGTTTATTACAAAGGATATTACAAGGTGTAAGAAAATAATCTAAGTGATTCATTTTCAGAAATGACTTATTTGAGGGTGTTTTAACTGATTCAGGCCCAGCCCAAAAGTTGTCTGACTGGTCCAGCCCATTCCCGGAAGGTATCTGAACAGATAGAGCTCTCCTTGAGATGGCAATTAGTTACTAGTCCCCATTGTTTTCCTCATTCCCTGATGTTTCTCCTTTCACAGGGCTTAAGCAGGCCTTTTTCACAGGCTTGTCCTGAGCCCCCAGAAAAAAGAATTCCTTGCAAGGGGGTAATAAATTTTAGGCACCATTTAGGAAGATTGTGCACCCTGTAGTACTCGTCCAACGAGGAAGTGGGGGGAGGGACTTGCGTACTAAGGAATAAATTGCTTGCTACAGCCCTTTTCTATGTGCCTGTCCCGTTCACAGACATCCAGACCTGCAAGGCCATTATTAAAGTCTTGCTTTGCTGTACCTTGTGTCTCCATGTCCATCCTTTGGAATTGGATGGGTGAGGGTATTTCTCACAGGATACAGATGAAGAGACGCATAGGGTGAGGTATGCGGGAAGGGGAGTGGAGCTTCTATGCCCTCCTGCCCCTTGATCAGCCATCAGGAAGCTGAAACCTCCACATGTTCAGCTATCAGGAAGCTCCTGAAACCCAGTCCTTTGGGGTTTTTATGGGGACTTCATTACATAGGCATGATTGATTGGCCTCTGGTGATTAACTTATCCTTCAGCCCCTCTCTCCTCCCTGGAGATTTTGGGGTGGGGCTGAATGTCCCAATCCTCTAATTCTGTTTTGGTCTTTCTGGTGACCAGCCCCCAGAGTGAAGCTACCTAGGGGATGCCAGACACCAGCCTACTCATTAGCATACAAAAGACACCACTTGAGCAATTCTAAGGATTTCAGGAGTTGTATGCCAGGGAAGGGGGACAAAGACCAAACATACATTTCACACAGTCATGAATGAGACCCAGTCTCCAGATTTTACAAGGCACAGTCACTGGCCTTCCACCTGAGACTGTCAATGCATACCTCCAAAATTGACTCAGAGGTGCAGGGGACTATCTACAAAGCACATCTAGTTTCTTTTGAGAAGTTAAAAGAGGTTTTAGCTTTTTTCTTCTACTAAGCTGCATGAGACACCTCTGAAATGCTGCAGACTCTGCCCTCTCTTGCAGACCACCTACATTGGTGGAATCTGTTAACCTTGCACAATAATGTTTTTTTTCTTTTCTTTTCTTTGCATGTTCATGGCGGTAGGTTTGAGTTGACAAGACTGTTGTTTCTCCAATACATGGAAACACCCCCCGTGCCTCCAATTAGATGTCCCCCACTTCAGGTTTGCCATTGTGTGTCCAACCCAAATTCCTTCCCTCACTGCCCCACACCTTCATTTCACACGTTCCTTAATTCCCCACCACGTTCTCCTGACCCCAACAACCCCTAGGCCCTCCCATCCCCCACCATCCCGCAAGGCCCCAACATCCCCTCAAAACCACACCATCCCACTTGGCCCCACAAGATCCCCTCCAGGCTCCATGCCATCCCCTCTGAACCCCACCATCCCCTCCAAACCCACCATCCCCTTCTAGGCCCCACCTTCCCTCTGGACCCTCCACCATCCCCTCTAGGCCCCCCACCTTCCCCCTCCACTACTCACCACGCCCAGCCGCCCCTCCACATCCCACAGTCCCCCAGGACCCCGCTCTGGTCCTTCTGCCCCTTTCTCAGCCGACCCTCGTCCCACCATGGTCCCCCAGCCCCCGGGGTTTGGAAAGAGGACGGCTCATCACCGCCTCAGCCTCGGCGGGCGGCCAGTGCCGAGGCAGAGCGAGAAGGGCTCGGGTACAGGCTCAGTCGCAGGCGACAGCTGCTGCTCACCTGAGGCGCTGCGGGAAGCTGCAGGAAGGCCAGACGCAGACAGCGACGGACAAGAACCGCAAATGCCGGAAGCGAACAGAGACGGTCAAAACCGCTGTGAGCACTTCTGCGCCTGCGCGGGGCGGGGACGGGTCGTGGCCGCATGCGTGCAGGGCGGTGCACTAACAATCGGGTCCGGCGGGAATGCAGCGCCCTTCAGCTCCTGGTTCCGGGACTGTCGCCCGTTTCAGCCCCGGCCGGAAATGAGGACGGGGCCTGGGCATCCGGGCAGGGTCTGCTCGGCCGTCAAGGAGGAGCTACAGTTTTACGTACCGCCATCTTTAACGCTCCCTGCTTCCGCGCTCCCCGCGTAAGCTCCGGCTTCTCCCCAGAGGCTGCTCGGGAAGCAGGTGAGGGCCGCTGGGACGGGCTGCTGAGGGGGTATGAAAGGGTTTCGGGCGGGAGTGGGCACCTGAAGACCCGTCTGCAGGAGGCTTCTCCTCTCCGCGAGGCTCGCAGGCCACGGTCATCAGGAACAGAGGGGCGGCGTGGCACAGGTGTGAGAGCCGGACCCGTCCTCGGCCGTCACAGACCTGCGGGTTTCGCGCGCCCGGTGGCTCCCTCGCCTGCATTGAGAGGTTACCGCCAGGTCGTGCTCGGGGGTCATTCTGAAGAATATTGCCACTTCCTCGAGGTCATTGCGGAAAGGAGGCGCCTCGTTCTCGGGAAAGTGTTGCAGGGGGCCGCCTCCGTGTCCCTTTAGCACCTGCGGGAGGACGGGGTACTGTCGAGGCCCCAGCCAGAAGGCAGCGTCCCTGCTCCAGGGTCCATCCAGAAATTAAGCTGGTCCTCACCCCTGTGGACCAGATCTGGGACATGTCTGTTCTGAGCCTCATGCTTGGGCGTCCCCAGGGACTGCTCCTCCTGTGAGGGTCTGATGGAGTCCTGGCCACCCACGGCCATATGCCGGCTCCCTGTTCTCGGGTGAGACCCAGCAAGGACGGGGACTCTGGATCCACCGAGAGGGAGGACGGGGGACAGCATGTTGGTGCATTTGACTTGCAGCACACCTGCCAGGGACCAGGAGCCCGGTGGTGGTGTTGAGACCGGGTTTTTTAGACCATCCCAGCCTCCCCTCAAGTGAAGGCCAGGACACGTGAGCCCTTGGGGTCTGGTCTGCCTGACTCTGGAGGCTAATCGGTGCCTGTCACAGGCCAGCCCTCTACCCTACCCTGCGGGTGGTCCTGCCAGTGGCAGGGTTGGCCACTGAGCAGGGGTTTGGCAGAAAGCTTCCATCAAGGGAGCCCTCCATCAGTGACCATTTCTCCCTATCAAAAGGGAAGCCTGCTAGGCTCCTGTCTGTCTCCTGGGAAGGGAGGGGCGATGTCTGCTCTGTTCCCTGTTGCACACAGTAGGTGCTCCATCACTCTGAGGGAGAGAACAAGCAAAGTCTGTCCCCTGTTCAGCCTTCATAGGGATCCCGCAGCATGTCAACCCGTAGCTCCTGCACTGATGTGCTCCCTATTTTGTGTGGGTCTCTTCCTGCTGAAACAATTCTCAGGAACGGCAGGTGCAGCCAGCCCAGCCTCACATGCAGCTGGGCACGGAGGACTGAGGTGCACGGCCCATGTGAGAGCAAGTGGCTCACTATGCCCCTGTTCTGAACAGGTGGGAATGGATTCTCATTAGGACCTGCTCTCTTCCCTGAAGCCCCAACCCTGTGCTCAGCTCTGTGACTCTTTCTTCCTGCAGCGCGAGCCCCAGGCTTCGGCCCTCTGGCGAGAATCACAAGGTGTGTGGGGCCAGGGTTCTGCCAGGCTCCTTCCCCATTACCTACAGTCCACTCACACCTCCAGCTGGTCCTGGGGTCCACTATCCCCATCACAACAGGGGAGGCTGCATCTATATGTACAGGAGGGTGGCACATCTGTGCTCTGGACAATACCTGCTATGACTCTTACTGGGACTGGCTGACTCTCAACTAGAGTAGAAGCCCAGGAGGGCGGGAATTTGTTCTGTTTTATGGACAGAACAAATTTATTTGTGCTAATGCCTGGAAAAGTGATTGTACACAGCAGGCACTTCATATATGTTTGTTGAATGAACGAACCCCAGTGAGTACCTCCCCAGATACCTGAGTGGACCTGGGCCTGCCCTCGGGGACCTCTAGCTGGAATCTCAAACCTCTCCTACAAATGCAGAAACAGCTTTGCAAGAGCCCAGGGACAAATGAGCGCTAAGGCAGGGGCTGCTTCATGGTGGAGAGGGAAATAATCAGCATGAGCGACCGCAGCCCTTCCATGGGTCCTTTCCACAGGGCCAGGCACTGGGCAGCCATTTTACATGGCTTGTCCCATGTGGTCCCTCAATGACCCTCTGGATTTAACCCCTTTGACACCCCAACTTTTCAGAGGAGCAAACATCTAGGTGCAGTGACAGTCTCAAGCTAGTCGGTGCCGGGTCACCTCTGTGCCGTGGAAGGGCGGTGCTCACCCAGCAGCAGGTCCAGCACCCGCTGGGTGGAGGTGAGGGCTCAGCAGGAGCAAAGGAAGATGGCAGTATGGTAGAGGTTGCTGCCCAAGTGGCTGCAGCCGGTGCTCCAGCAGCTTCTCCAGCATACCTGTCTGGACCGTCCCCACGCAGCAAGTTTCTCTCTGGGGTGAGTCAGGCGACATCATGGACTACCAGGGACTGGGGCTAGAGCTCAGACCAATCCATCGGTGATGTGGCCAGAGTTGGGACATTAGTGTCCCAGCAGAAAAGTGCTGTCCATGTCAAAAGAAGAATTTAAGGTGGAAAAATAATTTTAAATTTTGTACCTTCAATTAATTTGTTGTCTGAGTGATGATAGCACCTCCCTGTCAAAGAGCATTATTCCCGAGAGTCCTCACAAAACATCTCCATGGTAGAGATGGGGACACAGGTTAGGGATGTCAAGGGGCGGCTCAAGGTCATGTAGGTCGGACCCAGAACCTTCAAACACTATACCTGTGTGGTCTTCCTTCTGCTCCCAACCTGGGGAGAGGCCTGGGGACCCTCTTTCATGCCAAGTTTGGAGACAGTCTACAGACACACTCGATGAGAGCCCTTGTGGTCTCAAAAGTCAGACGCATATCTTCCCTTTAAAGGCTGTATTGACAACATCAGGCTAATGCGGTCACAAGTGCAGCAAAGAAGCAGATAAATGCCTGGAGATTTCTGGGTGGGGAAAACTCCACAGGGCCAAGGATCTGAGCAGCAGAGTCGAGGAGAGCACACCCATTGGCCAGTCAACAACTGAAAGGACCTAACTGGGGCAACTCCAAATTAGAGCCACAGTGATATTTCATTTGCCTGCCTAACACCAGATTGGCAAACATTAAAAAGAAGGGTGACCCCGAGGGCCAGGTGGGATGCAGGGAAGCAGCCCTTGTCTAAACTGTATGTAGACAGCAGTTTAAAATGTTAAATATGGGCTGGCCGTTCAGCTCACTTGGCTAGAGCATGGTGCTGATAACATCAAGGTCAAGGGTTTGGATCTCAGTCCTGGGCAGCCACCAAAAAAGGAAAGAAAAAAAAAAAGTTGAATGTGACGCTGTCAGCCCAACCATCCCATCCTGGAGGATCAAGATACTAGGATACAAGTAAGGCCTTTGGGAAAGGAATCTCACCTGTCCATCACCTTGGTAACCAGCCTCACTCCTGGAATACAATGGATGTGGTAGGGTCAGTTCCCAGCTCCCAACGTGGAAGGGTCTAGGTGACATGTTCCATGCGAGAAGTCACAGAGACACATGAATGAGTGCCCACACTTTTTGTGTCAAAACCCTGAGTGTGATGAGATGTGGAAGGAGAATCAGGCCCACAGCTGCTGGGTCTGCTGCGGGTGGGAGTAAGAAAAACAGCAGCAAATGCAAAGATACCCAAGCTCTAATTTCAGATGAAAGTGCAGAGACCCTGAGTCCCACAAATACAGGAAAAGTAGCAGTGCCCTGGCCAAGGCTGGGGCTGAGTGCTGGGCAAATGCAAAGATACCCAAGCTCTAATTTCAGATGAAAGTGCAGAGACACTGAGTCCCACAAATACAGGAAAAGTAGCAGTGCCCTGGCCAAGGCTGGGGCTGAGTGCTGGGTGGGATGGCCTGGATTCCTCTGGGAGTGGGAGTGCTGGACTCTTGGCAGGAAGGTCCTGGAAGGGCAGCGTCGGGTCCCTGGCTGTCCTCCATCTCGGGGCCTGGGCTGTCACACCCTAGTGCCTGCTATCCCCCACCTGCAGAGGAGAGGGTGTAGATGCCCCTGTCACCAGGTCCTTGCCCATTTCCTGGGTTGGGCACTGCACACAGTGCCCAGCAGCTGGACAGGAGGATGCAGAACCTTGCAGGGGGACGTCTCCATGCAACCTTCTCCACATCAGGCAGATCCCATGTCTGCACAGACTCCAGCCCAGCAGGAAACAGGGCAGTGCAGGTCTGGCAGATAAGATGGGGGAATGGCACCACACAGAGTTTGAAAAGCCACCATGCCAGCCACGACCTGGGCTGTGAAAATGCTCTTTGGACACTTCGGTGGCTCTTCTGTGGAGGCTGAGAGAAAAGCCACCTGTCCTAGGTCATGCTGCTGTAGGCAAATGGCATAACCAGGCTTTCAAGGGCCTGGCCCAGATCACTTCACCTGGGGGCTGCATCCTCTCTTGAGTCCACTCCCACCTCTTTCTTGTCTGGGGTTGGGATCCCAGGGCTGCCCTCAAACCCTGCCAGCTTTTTGCAGTGGCTACTGGAGACTCTCTTAGATACCCCCTACTGAGGAGTTGAGACCGAAACATAGACCAGGTCCTCGCTTCTCCATTGCTGGGACTCCACAATGGCAGGGTAGGGACATGGGGTGGGGTCTGGTATTATGCCTTCCTGACTGGTGGCACTATGCCACAGGTGGGGATGCCCCTACTCAGCACTAAGTGGGAGCTGACAGGTAAGGGCCGTGGTGGGGAACTGTGACATGTCTTCTGTCCATGTGAGTCTGGTGAGTATTAGTTCTTACAGGTGGCAAATACTTGGCTCATTACCATGTGAAGGTTGTGGAATTAAAATTTAGAATTTCCTTGGGCCAGATCAGTAGATTGTCACAAGTTGACTAGCACAGTCACAAGTTAATTAAGGTCGTTCATTCATGTGGGTGGAAGTAGATATGCTATCAGCCATAATTCACTGCAGTTTCCTCTTATGAGACCAGAATTGCTCAGAGATATTTATCCTGGGGATCCTGTGATAGTTGGAAGATTGAGGATGGTGGCTACTGTATGGGATAATCTAAGAATAGCATTATAATGAATATGTCTGACTTAACAATTATTACAAAAATGAAAGAAAAGATAAATATGTTTCAAAAATGAAGGTATAATATAGACATACACAGATTAACAAAACTGAGAGAAC